AAAGCTTGGGAGATTATTACTAAAAGCGTCCACTTAGACAAACCCAGACTGCAATAATTCTCCACTTTCTGAGACGCCCACATGGCACACATAGAGTTCTGTCTGAAATTAAGAGGCCAGGAAATTACATACTTATGGCAACAATTCTAGTGAAAATAATTTTTCGATGCCTGATGAATTCATGCAGCGTGATTCGTTATCATTAGTTAATTTGTACGCTTTGCGTAAGGTACTCTTTCTTTCACTGATAAAACCAGACAAAAACAATTACCATATCAGTCCCTAAATGTAAAAGTACATTTACTTCAACACTGAGAAACAGACAAAATATAAAAATAGTTGAGTCAGCTCAAGTGGATTAGATCTAGTTAGTGGACACTCGTATTGTCGCTTTTTCACTGCCCGGCACGCTTCAGTTCAGTTCTATTAAGGGGTAGGTTTAATGGCTGTTCCACTGCATCGTAGCGATGGCACCGCCACCATTTCTGGACCTTGCTTTGAGGAGGTTCAAGAAACACCACCATTGTCTTCATTGGCCAATCAAGCATTACATATGTGAACACTGATTGGTTCGACAGAGTCGTCATTGCTTATGTCTTTGAACCGCGCAAATTACATACACCTACACCGAGTTGGTTCAATCACACGCAAAAAAAAAAAAAAGAACGCGCTAAAGAAGCAGAGTGGTACAGTCATTACTAATTCTTGTCATTACAGTCATTACTAATTAGAAAATGCAAAGCTAACACAACAGTCCTTTGGCGCATTTGTAATCCAAATACTGAGGATGGCTATTACAGCACAAAAAGCCTATGGAAAAGCAAGCAGTACCTGGCTGTGTCGAGCAATACATAAGTGAAATATGAGTGAAATAAGAATTGGACCTCATTGAATCACCATATAGTGAGTTTAAAATAAACCCACCATTAAATTTGTGAACTAAACTCTGAGCAAATGTTCAGAAATCAGCACTGTTGCCTCTTTTGTTGAAAAATATTGAGTTTGAAGCTACAAAATTTACCTTCTACAGACATGTAGTCAGAAACTGAAGGGAATTTCAGTGACAGTTATGTAGTGTTTGCTTGAGTAGAGGTGACAGACATCAAGCTGAGCTGGAAGAGCTTTTAGGCATGAGATACACACAAACTCACCCATCTGCTGATGGGATGCTGATGACATCATTCTCAAGCACCTGCCTCTGATATCAGCATTAACCGAGGCTAATAACTGCTGAGACAAACAGCCATCCTCTTCCAGTCAGACTTGAGCTCAACAGAACAGCCAGTAATAGCTGCAGCTGGTGGACCAATGGAGGTCCCAAACACAATCTGCTTTAAACAAGTGACAACAATTCCATTCTTTTTTAGCCATCTAAAGCTTTGTTAAATCCCCAGCTTCGAGTTCCACTGTCAGCAATTATTGCCTGGCTTTGAAAAATACAGCTGTCAACCCTTGTTAAGAATTAAGCATGCGCTTAGCACAATAAAGTTCCTGTGCTAATAAGACTAGCTCTATGAAACACTCCCAGGTGAAACTCATTAAGTACAACAATTAACCCTCTGTTGCATGAATTAAGAAAGAACCAGAAAAACAAATGCAGAATTCACTTGTCTCTCAAAAATGCTCCTAATTTTTTTAAACTAAATATGTATTTACAGACACATTTTAAAGGTTTAAATACTTTAAAAGTTTATATTTTTTACAGTTACTTGAATGGGAAAAATCAAAGCTTTAAAGAGCTCCAAAAGCCAATTTTTTTTTATCATGTTCAGCATTTGTCAGCATAAAACTCTAAATAAAGTTAAAAAATTTACTCTAAAAGGTAATTGTTTGCCCCTGCTACGCATGTTTACAGGCAGATGAATGTGGTGTAATGTCAACAGTAGTGATTGACTGTATGTGTATGGGTCCAAGGTTACTGAGGCACGGAGGTGGGGTAAGCACAAGCAGGTTACAAGAGAGAACAGAGATAGCTTATGTAAGAGTTTGATTCATGTAGAGTTCAAGTTCAAGTGTCTGCCTCGACACTTCGCATCATAGCTAATGATCCCAGGTCAGATGCTTCAACATCTAATCAAGCAACTTCCAGTAAGGTGTGTTAGGGCAAACTCAGGTCCCCCGGACCCCTGAGCTATAGTATCAGGAGGGAGTGACAGTGACAACTTCTGTTTTCGTGATGTGAAAATTATTCCTTTAGAAGTAAATTTGTACAAAAATGACAAGATGAGGGGCGGTACTGTGGCACCTCCAGTTAGAAGGTTGTCGGTTTGAGGCTCGCCGGTGACCTTCCTGGAAGGAGTTTGCATGTTCTCCTTGTGCTTGCGCGGGTTTCTTCCGGGTGCTCCGGTTTCCCCACAATCATGCTGTTAGGTTAATTGAATAATCTAAATTCTACATAGGTGTGAATGTGTGAGTGAATGTTGCCCTGTGATGGACTGGCGACCTCTCCAGGGTGTACCCTGGAGATGTGCGTTGGAGATCGGCACCAGCAGACCCCCGTGACCCCAAAACGGGAATAAGCGGGTTGGAAAATGAATGAATGAGATGTACATAAGTGAGGTAAACTAATTTTCTGATCAAAGAGTACCTTTAGACATTAAGGAGTTACAGGAATTCAAACCATGAAATGAATGAAATGCTAAAAGCTTCAATAAAAAGCTCTTCAATAAACAGAAAATAAATAAAAACTCCCTCTACATACATATAAACTCTCAACATTCATATCCTGTCCTCCATTGTTCAGTCTTGCTGCAGGGCAGTAAACAAACTTAAACAAATTCCTAAAAAATAACATTGAATAATTTATGTGGCTGTGAATGTTATAAAACAACCTCTGAGAAATTGCAATCATGTTTTTATTCTGTGACTATTTTCCTAGATAATCCTAAACAGTTCTTTATTAAGCATTTAAAACCTTTCAATTGAACATCTAGAGTTTTTTTGCAGCAGAGGGTTAAGCTATGTTGACTGCAGAGCTGTTTTTAGAAAAAGAAAACATAACTTGAAATCCTGCAGACATCAATAGCCGGCTGTCCAGACATCGATTAAAACCTAGACGGCAATTCAAAACCAAACAAGTATTTTACCCAAGCCAGTAGATTCAGCTGTCTGTAAATGGAATGGATGTTTACAGTAGCAGATTGAGTTGTGGTACATACCATAGACGTAAAGGATGTAATCATCATACGCCTCTCCCACCAAGTTCGATGCCACACAGCGGTACGTTCCGTTGTATGACTTATTAAGATTTTCAATGAAGAGATCAGAGCCAGTAATCACAGCGTGGGAGGGGAAATCATCATCCACTTTATGCCAGTTAATTTGATGAGGCCTGTAAAACATCACAGTAATCATTTAGTGCCCAGTGTGAAAATCTTCAGACGGGCTAGAGAGGATAGCAGGAGAATTTCTGTAAAACCTCTATAAACACATGCAACACATTCAGTTCAGAAAAGAAAAGAGTAAACTACTTATGTACACTAAATTATTATCAGTAATTATTATCAGTTTCCCTTCAGTATAGCAAAGCTGGTCTGCCCCCCACCACAGCTCATTCAACACTTACTCCATAGATGTTTACCCTGCGTTTCATAAACCTAATATCCTATCGAAACACTTTTTTTGTTTAATAGCAGCTTCTTTCGCTAAACATCAACCAAAGGCAGCCATTTGAAAGATGATCTACTTGGTTGGTTTGTACAGAAGCTCAGGGTAAACATAAGTTGAGCTGCTTACTTCCCAGCTCGCTATCACACAGTAAAATGAACTGCTATTCCATACAATGATTTGTTTAGATGCGCGCATACAAGGCAGATTACGGTAATGAATGGCCAGACACTTGAAAGGCACACTACCTCTCTGCTTTATTCTGTTTATGTTTTTTATACAATGTCTTTTATGTTTGTTACAATGTGATTTAAAAAAACAGAAGAGTTAAAAAACATCAACAAACCAGCAAACAGTTATATTTTGAGAATAAAGCCTAAAAGGTTGTGGGCCTTTTAAATCGCGTTCAACCTCACGACAGTGCGATGGGGCACTGTGGTGGGGGGGACCAGCTTGGCAAATGGGAATAAAGTAAAAAACTACAAATGTATGCTGTAATTATGAGATATGCAAGTCATAAATATGACAAATGAGATTCACTCTCGAAAAAAATGATTTGTGTTGCAGCAATGAGCTTCCGTACTGTGGAGCCTCATTGTTTAGTTTTTTTTTTGGAAAAAAGGCTTATTCTAAGAAAACCCTAGATTTATTTTAGACAAAGACAATCTTGTATTTTAAGGACAATCTTCAAAACCAATCGTGTTTTTGACTGAACAACAGACTCTGAAACAAGAATCAATAAGGTTTCTGAAGTAATTCATTAAATTCAGCCTTCGGTGTCCTCTGAGCTTAATATCTTATGCTATTCGTTAACCAGTGTTGATGTCATTTGCCAACATTCTTTTTTTTTTCAATGACGCCAATTATGCTAGCGTCCACGTACTTTTCATATTTACCCTCCATGTTTTGCCCATAATGACACAGAAGTTGTTGTAGATGTATTTAGACTCTTGACAAGAGCTTTGAGCTGTCACTCACCCTGAACAGTTTAACACATGATGTATGATGCACAAAGGGAGAAAATATTCTAGAAATTAGAGTGCCACTCACCCGCAGTCCATACCCAGGCCCTGTTCTATTTGTCTGATTACACAAAAGCTCAGATTGTTTGTATGAATCTTGCATCATAGTTTTAAATTAAAGGAGAAATTGGAAGTTCTGGCTAATCACAGCTGAGATCAGTCAATCACAGTTCAGCATTTGACACAGTGTACGTTCAGGTTTTGAGTGCAAAATAAAATCAAACATGATAGAGCTGAATATTAGTTGTTAGAACGTTGATACCCCCAAACATTCCTTTTCACACTCATTCGAGACAGCAATGGTAACTTACACAACCCGACACAACCCAAACTGACTAGCATTTCAAGGAATTAACACCTTTTGTCAGATCTCGCTTTTCCTGGGGTTTGAACCCAAACACCTTTGCACTGCTAGCGTAATGCTCAACTGACTGAGCCACAGGAAAGCAAGTGAGGTGGGGGCTGGGGGGGCTTAGTGATGTGTAAATTGGGTCACCTGAACCACTTGGCGTCTATATGGCACACACTGTTGGTTTTTGAGAGGACACAAGATAAATACATGGGAATATGAGCCAGAGCATGACCATTACGGTTGGTATTTATAGTTTTAGCGGTCACGACTGCGATAAAGCAATCAGACAAAATCACATCAAATGAGTAAAGTGCTGAGAGGGCCTTGTGCAAGACGTACTGTGGCTTTCCTTTGGTTCTGCAGGTGAGCTCAAGATTTTCTCCTTCTCTTGTTAAACCCTCTGGGAATTCCACTTCAATCTTCACTTCTGGTTTATCTGCGCATTGGACACAACAAAGCGAGAAACACAAACTCATTTCCAATTGCACTCTGGTACATTGATTCAGCTTTGCACCCTTGAACCTATTGTATCGTTCTAATTATCATTCTATAGCCTCATGCACTACCTACCTGATTAGAAAACATCCCCAGCAGCTTCGGGCATGAGTTGCACATTCACATTTATACATTAATGCACGTCATGTGTTCCAGCTTAATACAAGTACTGTATAATAAAGCCAGCAGATTTGAAATCTTCTTTTCGTCTTTAGCATTCATGTAACACCTTATTAAGTCAACATACAGAGCCTAAAAGAGCCTGAACATGACGGTACGTGATTTTTATAGCACGGGTAAAGTGTCTGAAGGAGGAATGTGTCTGCTATGAATTTAAACTGTCAATTTAACAGTACTGTAAAATGTTTTTTTTTCTTCTCTCTTTTATCTGTGTTAGTCAAAATGTCAAGCTGTTACAGTTGAGCTGATCCCTCCTGCCTTTTCTTCTCAAAGGTCACCCTGAGCAGTCAGCTATCTGAATAAATTAATATTCTGCCAAGATTACAAAAGGCTAGGTTAACCTTTCCCGGACTTCCTGTGCCACATAAAAGCATGAAGCAAATGCTCTTAATCAGTGCATTATTTGGCAGACCGTATTTCATGCCGATGCATAACAAGGCTGGGTCTGTTTTAATTAAAGCAAACACAACTAGACCTTGGCTGGGTTAAAAGCAACAGTTCAGCTCAAAAAGTAATTTCTGTCATTAACTAAAGAATCCTTTTTATCCCATAGTCATATAAGTTTAAAACACGCCATCTATGATATGATTTTGTATCTTCATATACTGTCATATTCTTATGTTTAACATTTCAACAATAGCAAACACCAACTTCTTAAAGGGGACCACAGAGGAAAAAAAATTGGCCTCTCTTGAAGTCCTGTGTTTGTTTGTTTTTTAAATGAATGTAGCTTTTTTTCAAGCTAATGTCTAATTACTAATGTTTTTATCTATTAAAAAAAATAAATAAAGATTTATTGATTGTTAAATAAATGTTTTAAATTAAGTAAATTAGTCTTTTTGTATGTTATAAGAGACTCATTATGATACATGAGTGTGAAACAAAAAAAATAGATTTAATAAATAGATTTATCTAGATCTAATTTAACCATTAGATGTCTTTGCATGTAATCGCAGCGGCTGTTTTGAAATAAGTGATAATAATACAACCCTCCTATTGTTTAATTTTAATTTCAAATTTAATGTGTAGGTTTCAAAAAGGTTATTAGTTTTGGTATTTTGGGGTTTAAACATAAGAGTTATGACGTATAATTTGTAAGGTAATTCAAATTAAAATATGAGACAATGCGCAATCGTCTTTCAGTTTCATTTCACAGACCCCAAATTGGTGCAATCAGTGCCATCTAGTGGTAACCTTTGGAAGTATATGACCTGTGAAATGCAACAAAAACAGTGTCTAAGGTTTTGGAGGGGTTTGTCTGTCTTTTTATACACTTTTAACATTGTTTTGATATTGTCTTTACTTTTTTGGAGGATTTATACATTTTTTAAAATGTTTATAAAACATAAAACATTTTGTTATCAATTTTTGCAATAAAAAAAATGACAAAATGGATTTGTATTTTTGCACAACTTCAGGATTGTTGTGGAATTATACATTTTAATATTACTGTCTAAAAGGTAATTTATTAAAGCAAATTGTAAAATGGTAAAAAAAGGCCCCTGACTTATAAGGGTTAACATTTATGAATTTAGAATTCTTCAAATAAGCTAACTCAAAAAATATTTGTCAATATTTAATTTAGTTTTATTACTCACTGAAATAGCATTCACTGTGTTAACAGATTTAATATAGTAAATTAACCAGGTGTGTAGCTTCATTGAATAATGGTCAATTTGACTCACTACAAATACCTTCCCTAACACTGTCCTCAGCGCTAGTAAAGCCTGCCAACGTTCCACTTATTTTATTGGGTGTAAACTAAGAATGAAAAAAATAATTCAGTTAAATGAATTAAATAGGTCATAAAATAAAATGAACAATTACATTTGTAGTAATCAACATCTTGTCTGTTCTGGGTTCACTTTGCCAACTGGTAAACAAGCCTGGTTGTTTCCAGAGAGAAGTTGTAGAACTTATGGAAAAAACCAAGGACAAATGAGACAAAGTGAAGCTTCAAAAGAGAGGCAGCGAAAACATAAATTATCCCAAGTGCAGAATAGTTTCAGGATTAAAGAAAGGGAAATGAGCTAGCATAACGCTAGCATCTCAATGGAGAACACAGAGCTAAAATTAATTAGCAGCAGCAGACTCAACGTATGTGATTTCATTCAAATGGATATAAATGTTATTTGTCATTTTGGCTAAATTTATTCTGCAGAGCTGTTATGTCATACAAGGCATTTTGGGTGATGTAGTGTTTTGTGTTCTCTGTGAGCAAATGAGCAGTACTGATGAAAAATGTGTAGTTCTAAAATGTAAAAGTGTTGTTTTATAATCCCAATGTACGGTATGTGTCTTATGTTACGGACTTGTGAAACTTGTGAAAAACGGGCATTTACGGTTAATGTTTACATTTACCTCAAATGAACCGAATTTAAAAAATGCATGATGCATATCAATGATATAAGGACATCGTGCTCTAAGTTTTGTGGGTAATTATTTTTCTAAAGATACTATGAACCACAAATTCGGTCAAAAAAAAGCATTGTGTGTTAATTTCCATGTTATAAAATGACACACAAAATATTTGTACACAGAAGCTAATTGAGAGACAGATATAAATTAATTCTCCTTCTTGAGGAAAGCAGTTGGTTTGTCTTTGCTTATGCTAATTTCCTTATAAATAATCCAATAGAGCAACGTTAATTTTTCAGCTCGAATTAAGCTTCAACCTAAGGCTATTTTCCTAGAGAAACTTTTCCCTCGTCCTGAGATGACTCACACTGCACTTCCAGATATTTCTGGGCCTGGAAGTCCTTCACGGCTGGATGGTCAATGATGCAGATGACGGCCACTCCATCGTCCTCCTTGGAGACGGTGAGCTTGAGCCTGCTGGTGACTGTGAACATCCTGTCGTATAACTCCTCCACAGTCGCCTCACCTGGGAATGGCAGCGAGAGTGACATGTCAGCCGTAGCAACTAGCTCTCTCCATCCTGGCCGGGCAGGTGCATAATAACCACAGGGGTCATGAGGAATGATACCTTCACCTCCAGAAAAATTTCACATTCATTTATAGTGAGAGACAGGCCTTGTGAGAGCATAGCAAACAGCCATGCTTAATAAAGCCTGTGCAAGAGACTTTGTCGATTTGCGTGACATAAAACACAGAAATACTCAGGGGTTGTGTTCCACCTAAGAAACTTTAATGGTTTTCAATTCAAGTTTGATTTATTGATGATAATGTCAGTCATTTCTTGTGCTTTCAGATTTGTTGCTTGCTCTTGTTTCAGAATGTTAAACATCTTATACTTACAAAGGTTTGTAGAGTATCCAAAATATTAACTCCACAAAATATTACTCCAAGTGAAAATATTTCAAGTTAGAGTTGAAGCATCAAATGATGTACTTCACATTTTCATTGGATAGTTTTAATCTTACTCAAGTCGTTCAAATTACAGTCATAATCACCATGAGATTATTACTAACTTACCTTAAACGTTTCTTTGTTCAAATAATGTGAAATAAAGTCACATCTAAAGTTACAAAAACGTCATGAACGTCATATTACCAAGACAAACTGATTTTCGATTTCCTTCGATTTCGATTTCACAGATTTGTGACATTGAGGTCGTTTGAGATCTTCATACCTTCTGTTATGAAGTATATTAAAAAATTGTAATTTAGTGTCATTTTTTATTGATCTTGAAACGTAAGTGTGTCCTGTCTCACGTAAGACAAAGAGGTGTGACAAGCGAAGGGCTCTCTCTTTCCTTCACCTCGTTCTTGGTCTTTTTCTTTTAAGAAGGCAGCATTTCAAGTTAGTATAATCATATCTAGATGTTTAAGTTAAATAAATCCATGTTTCTGTTTAATCTAAGTCTTCTTTACTTGGTTTAAAATTAATTTTCTTTTACAGGAGCATACTGCACAAAGGTGCTTGATTTACAGATAATAAACAAAAAAATTATACAATTATATGTCTTCTTGTCACGGACATTACTGTTTAAAGAATTAAGGGAGAAGGATCAAACCTCAAACAAATCAACATTTGGGAAATGCCAAAATAAAGTTAAATTTATTATATTAACCAAATTCACCTAAATTATGCAAAGCTTCATTTTTCACATTTGAGCTTGGATTTTTCATTCAATTTAAGTAATTTAAGTCGAGTTGTTCGAAAACTGCTCTTTTAAAATCTAGTGCAGTGTAACGCCCCAGCTTACGTATAAAATATAGCTTGGATACCAATTCAAATGCCCCCGATCAACCCTAACGGCTACAGTTTTGTTACTTTTAAACAGAAACTATAACTTCTGGCATTCTTTGTGGGTAACTGAGATATGGAAGCATGAGGATTTCATATGAAGCAGCTCAGAGGTCAGGGGCTGTCACAGCGGGGTTACAGCCCATCATGTTAGCCCTCATTCCAAGACATTTTCTAAACCCAAGGGCATTTGGCTAATTGCAGCACTGACT